TTTCCTTACTCCGTGTTATGGCAAAGCTTTTTTCTAAAAAATCACACATCTAGGGGCGCCTGGGTAACCCAGTGGGTAAAGCATCTGCCTTTGGCTCAGGTCTTGATCCCAGGATCCTCGGATGGAGTCCCACATCAGGTTTCCTGCTCTGTGGAGAACCTGCTTCTCCCTCTCCCTCTGCCTGTCTCTCCCCCTTCTTGTGCACGCTCTCTCTGTCAAGTAAATAAATGAAATCTTTAAAAAAAAAAATCACATATTTATATTTGCAATGAATGTCTCTATATCTTTAGCTTTCTATATCTTTTTGGATTATTTCAGATTTATAGAGTATAATTACTTAAACAAATGGTATGACAAATTGCATGGTCTCTGATCTATAGACAAATACATCTCAAAATAATTGTACTGATTTATATGACCACTAACAATTTATGAGTCCACCAATTTAACAACATATTCTGGAACAGTGTATGTTATCAATAAAAAGGATTTGCCTGGGTGGCTCAGTCAGTTGAGGATCTGCCTTCACCTCAGGTCATGATCCCAGGGTCCTGGGATTGAAACCCAAGCAGGCTCTCTGCTCAGCAGGGAGCCTGCTTCTACCCTCTCCCAGTGCCCCTGCTTTGTTCCCTCTCTCACTGTCTCTCTCTATCAGATAAATAAATAAAATCTTAAAAAAGAATTTGCCAATGTTATGATTGAAAATGCTTCCTTAAATTTTGTTTTGATTTAAACTTTAAATTACCTATAAGTTGAGCATTGCATGTGCTGAGTTTTAAAGCAAAGGGGATCAAGACCCTGGGAAGTTGCCTGATTTGACCAGCAGTCTGATTACATTTCTTTTCTCTTTTTTCTTTTTACCCTTTTTTTTGTTTCTTAAATGTGGTTATATTACTGTTCAATCTGTACAACCCGGAATTCTGGGCATTCGTTGCTTCCTCAGTACTTCTTGTAGCTGTTCTAACATGGAATTCTATTTTTATAGGACTGAGAGGAAACAGAACTGAGAGGAAAACATGCTATTTGGAGTTTACTTCCCCCTGGAGGAGCCTGCCGTTGAGAATACAAAGTCGTGTTTGACAATAGGTCAACAAAAGGTAAGCAGAGGGAAGAGAGGGTAGAAGGAAACTGGATCCTGATGTCATCGTTAGACCCCTGTGCCCGCCCACACCTTTAGCCGTTCGGTGACATAAGCCAGTGCATTCTGTTTTTTTGATATAAGCCCATTTGCATCAGGTTTTCTTTCAATTGCAACCAAATGATGCAACTGATACAACTTCTTCTACAAAATGCATTTAAAAATTAATTTATTTCATTCTATGTTCTTGGCCAAAGCAGTTCCCTATTGCTATCTTCTTGTCCAGTTAATCAATAAATATATATTAGGCTCTTGTTATATGGGCAAATGCCACAAAGTTTAAGAATGTTCCTTGTGCTGCAGTGTAACTGGAATCCATTGCCTCTGTATTTTCCTCTCTCAGGGAATAGATCTCCATTTACCTAGGTAAGTTTTGGTGCAGGAATTGGTTGGTTCTTTACCACCTGTTCTCAGTTCCAAACCTACCTTCCTGCCAGGAAGGGGCTGGAATTCAGCAAACTGTATCTACCAGATTCCCTTGCCAGCTGACTTCATGTAAAGTTCAATAGATGGGAGGCCCTAGGAGATGGGAATGCGGGAGGCAGAGAATTCCTTCCTGTTTCCAGTTCCTGCACTTGCCACTTTGGTAAGCAGCCCAGGCCAGAAAGTTAGCTGCTGTCTGTAGCTCTAATATTTGGGTTTCTTTGCTATCTACTTTTTGCTCTTTCTACCTTCTACTATCTTTATAACCAATTCCTAATATTAAATCCATTCCACTTTCCTGACCAGACGCTGGCTGGTAAAGGACTGGATACCAGGAGTAATCCTAGGAAACAGACTCTGAAAAACAGGATGCTGGGCTGGATTTGCTTCAAACTCAGAGCTGAGCACTTGACCGGTAGAAAATGGGAACGGGCAGTCAGCATACAGCGGCACTGTGATTCATTACACTAGGGGCTATCCAAACTAGGCTGAGTGTCAGCAGGAGGCAGGGTTTTGGAGACATACTAATGGCGCAGAGCTTACAGCTCCAAAGCTCAAATAGTCTTCAGCGCATCAGAGGGCTTCTGAGCCTGCCCTGAACACATCTCTTATTCCTTTTAGTTATAGGACAGATGTATCTAAACAATCAGACCCAAGTCCAACAGTCACAGACTGGCCAAGTCTCACATGGGAAAGCTGAGGCAGGAATTTGGAAGGATAGGACCCTGACGACTAGGAAAGGAATGTTGGGCAGACTTGGACGAAGCTGAAAATTTTGACCGCCCCTAATGCCTCAATATCCCTGAGCTTCCCTTGGAAGAAGCCTCTCATTTTCTATTTGCTGATACCAGACTTCCTTTGCTTGGGAACCTGTAATTAGCTCAGATGAGACAGTCCCCTTGCATGGAGACCCCCTATCCTTTTCAAACCCCACCGCTCTCAGCTCTCGTGGTCGTTGGGCTTTTGTTTAGAGTCAGATCCCAGCATATTCAGGGGGAGAAGGGCAGAGTCTTGCTCTGGAGGAGAAGGCTTTACTCCAAAAGAATTACATGATTTTGTTAAATTTATACTAGAAGAAACCTAACTAATCTACATTGAGATGGACTCTAAGGGTATCGGATCAAGGAAAACAGGATACAACATTGGGTTGGGGCTAAATGTAGGTAACCCTGATATAATCTGCTCTTCATAGGTTTTTGGACTTAATGCTCGGGTAGATTGTTACAGCAATAGCCCCCAGGGAATCATACCGTTGTGTGGATCAGGCCCTCACTTAAGTCCCTTCCACATTGATTTTGGCCTAGCTATCTGACTTGCTCTGGCCACTGAGACATTAGCAAGTGTGATGCAAACAGAAACCTGAAAACTACTTGCGCATTGGGATTGGCCCTCTTTTTGCTGTTTTGGATCAGCTTCCTTACTGAAAAAAAGCATGGATAGACCTCCCGAAGGTGCGTGGCTCAGCCCACAGCCAGCACCAACTCCAAGACATGTGAGTGAGGCCACTTCAGACCAGCATCCTCCAAGCAATCTGTCAACTGATCGCAAATGTGTGAGTGAGCCCAGCTGATGGAGAAATGAGTCGGCCCCACTGAACCCAGCTTGAATTGCTAATGTACACAATCATAAAAGCATAAGTGAGAAACGTAAGTCATAAGGTTTGTTATATAGTGGAAGCAAGCTGAAATGAATGTAGGAGTTCGAGCAGCTGGGAGTGGTCTGTTTTTTTAGTTCTTTTGGCTGAAACCTGTGTTCAACAGTGACATTGAGTTAATAGAATTTCTGTGGAATAATGTACAGGAAGGATCCTAAAGGCTTAAGGAGTTAGGGATAATGGAGTAATTTATCATATGTAACCTGTGCATCTTTCCTCACCTTCAAAGGGCCCAAGGAATATTCCCTTCACCAAAGCATTGAGAAATGCATTAGTGAGGGAGCCCCAGCCACCGTGGACACCTCCAGGTGGCTGTTTTCTGCAATGCCAAGGGTGCTGGGAGGAGATGCTGCCCCTGAGATGGGCTTCCTGTTTTCAGTGGAGAGGACATGATCCCAGAATAGTCATCAGAATTCTTTACTTGCAGGAAATCATCAGTGGTGGTTGGCCCTAAGAATGAAGTTGACGGCCAGCCTACCAAAGCATTACTTGATTTATATAATAGAAATCTAACTTGAGTTTTCACAATTGAGAGTCATAGCTTCTTCCCCAGTTCTCAGAAAGGACCTGCAACAACACCGCATACTGGAGATCTTCCTCAAAGCCATCCCCAAAGGGACTTGAGGTCATTATGAAGGTGTCTGTGCACTGGGGGAAATGGAAATACCCAGGCTTTTCAGGGATTCCTAAACACTACTCTGAAACGATACTAATCCTTAGGAACCCTAAATGTCACTGTAGGCCGCTAGTCAAAATATGGGCTTATAGCAGTCAGAGGATGAAGAGAGTTTGGGCCCAATCCCTACTCATTATGATATGTGACTCATGCATTCATTAAAAATGATACTTAGGAGGACTAGTCAGCCACACGGGTGGGAACCCGTGGTACAATGACAAATTTGGGGGGAAAAAAAAAAGGATAGACAATCACAACTATGGCTGAAATCGTGTACATGTCTGGACAAGGACCAAACGCCAACAGCAAAAACGAAAATACTTGTGTTGAGATGATGAGATCATAGGTGATTTCTGTTTGTTCGGCCTTTCTCAATTCCTCAAACTCTCCCAAATGTTATTTTTGCTTCTTTTGTAAAAGGTAATTTTTTCTTTTTTAAAGACACACAACTCCTCCAGTTCTTCTGTTTTTAAGGATTGCCATTACCTTCTTTTTAGCCATTCATATTACGGTCACAGAAAGTAAGAATATTACAGGTAACCGTTCTCTTCCGTATTAGGAGGAGTCTTAGAGTCAATCGTGCCTGAGGCAGCTCGCTGCAACATTAGCAAAATCTGCTCCCTCCTTGCCCTCCAGGAGCTCACTGTCTAAGGGGAAGCTATCACATGTGCCCCAATCCTCATGGCTCCAGACTAGAGAGATAGGCCGCTAACCTAGGACTCTGCTGAGCTCAACAATGCACACATCTGGGTACGTCACAGGTCAACTAGTGCTCCGAACTTCCCGACTGCAGGACACAGACCAAATTTAACAGGATTTACCGGTTGTCGCGGCATGCAGTTACTGTCCCCCTCGACGACACACACAAGGGGATCCCACAGCATTTCTGCAGTGCCAGCCGTCAAAGGTCTTGACTCGTGAGTGTTACTGTGTCACAGACAGGGACAGAGACACTGAAAGGTGGAGTTTAGAGTCAGAGAGAGGGCCAGGAAAGGAGCCTTCATTTGGGGCTTTGACCATTATGGGTACCCATCTGAAATCTTTGCACGTATGGCATATTAGCGTTTTGGTTTTTTTTAATGTATGCCATTGGCTTCTGAGGTTTAAAAAAAAAACAGCATTTTTAAAAGGGAAGATGGAGTTTAAAAAAAATCATTTAGTATGGTGCCATTACAGGTTAAAACAAATGCTTTGTGATTTAGATCTCACAGAAATACTCAATGGCCTTTCTCCACAATTGGAGTTGTCCACTGTGTACTTAAATGCTTTCTGTTAATTAAAATAACTCAGATTCTTTCCAGATTCCACTAAACCATACGATACGCCAATTATGGCTTGACTTTGTTTAAAGTTCTGTGAGTTCATGGACTCAATAGGCTTTTCTGGAATCAAGAAGAAACTGCAGATAAAAATAACTCTATTGGCAATGGGTCCATTTCTGCAACTGAAAATTTCCACTCATCTCTGCTTCTGGAAATCACTTTGGAAAAGCAGGGGGGGGGGGAATTCCCTTTGTTTTCGGCCTGGCAGCAAGAAGGAGCCTCAGAACACTCATTGGGGTCTACGATCCAGGGTGGTCATTTCCTAAAGTGCTATCGTGCTTTGCTTAGAGTCACAGCTGTGGAGGTGAGTGCCTGGATCTGGGAGGGGTGGGGTGCCTGGCTTCCTCTGAGCACACATGGCCTGGTGCTGCCTCTCTCTTGTTCAGAGTCCAGAAGCTTCTTAAGGATGTTCCATCAGGTCACCCCAGCTCCTGAAACCACAGGTTCAAATCTGGGGAGAGAAGTCCACAAATAGGAAAATCAGTTTTCTGGTTAGAAAATATATAAGCTCTCAAAAATCAGATTGGAGTGAGAGACTGCCAAAGCAGAAAAGCTCATGTATCTGAAAGCAGCATAGTTCCTGACCTTTTGTCTGCACCACTGCCTCTGCCACTCTACCACTGCCCTGGGTCCGCGTCTCCAACCTCTCTCTCCAGACCTAACGCAAGAGCCTTGTTCCGCCCATTCTCCCGCTTGTAGTCAGCTCGGTTCATGGGCTCACCTGTTCAAAACCTTTGCTAGTTCTCCATCACACCAGACATTTCCACCGTTTCTTTCAGACTCATTCTCCTCTCTGCTCCACCGGGCTCAGGTCCCAGGAGGAAGACACTGGACTGCTCACTGGGCTCTCCTCTCCCTAGCTTCCACTCCATGCTTCCCCCGCAGGCTGGAGATAAAGAAGACTGTAACGGGCAGCACAGTGAGGCTGGGGCGTGCATGCTTCTGCAACCTCCAGACAGGTTGCGGACTGGCTTTATCCTTGTGGGTGGCCCTCTCCCACTGTTTCTCACCAGCCTTGTGGCAACTCCTTCTTTCCTTTTCCCCTTCAGGCCTGGGGTAGTCAACTCTTCCTTGTTCTTGCCAGTTCCAGGGTGTTCAACCTTCCTAACCGGTCTCTCCCAACCTTCCTCCTGTCTTTGTAACTAGTAAAAACTTAGAAGCGTGCCTCAGTCACCCCTACTGAGTGTGCCCTCTGCTTCCGGCTGAGACCTGACTGAGGCACTAAGCCTGATGAGTACAATCTAACCTCTATGCCTGGAACTCCTGGCTCATATGATGGCCCCGACAGTCTTTCCTCTTATCTCCCCACTGGCTCTTACCAGGATAGGAGCCCATGCTTTTTCCCATGGATGCCCATGTCTCCTCCCCCTGGTCTCTTCCATCTAGAATAGTCTGCTATTTCCATTCTTGCTTGGTTCAAATGTCACCTCCTCCATGAAAACTTCTCTCTTCCCTGATTATCCCCAGCCTAAAGTGATATTTTTTTCCCATCTCTGAACTCTCATGCTGTATTTGTACTTCTTGTAAAGCCACAGAAAACTATAAAAAACTACACTGACTTCTGGCACAATTAAAAACTCATGAGCCCAGGTGGATGAGGCTGTTAGTGTCTCCTCCTCCAGGGAACACCTGGCTGCTGTGTGGCAGGAAGCTGGACATGGGGTGGGTGTCTCTGGGGATTCTGAGGATATGTAAATAAGGTGGGCTTTGGGATAAAGTGATAGTTTGAGAACTACGTGATTTTCTGAGTATGTTCCAAGAAGCACATGTGCACCTTAGAGGCCTTTGCAGGGACCTACAGTAAGGTGTTTATATCCCTCACTCTAGTCTCACCATGGTTTTAATCTACTTTTGTGAGGTCATAGAAAATGTATGTACTGGTCTCTGCCCCAGGTTCCTGCATAGAGTTCCTAAAATCCTTGTAATTTCCTATGAGATAAGAGCACTAGGAACATCTTTTGTTCTAATGTTCAGCCTTCACTTCCTGACGGAGTTCCCAAATCCCTTGAAATTTCCTGGATGATAGCACTGTCTTTTGTTGTAAAGAGGTGACTCTTGCTGAACTCCTGGATGGGGGCTGGTCACCAGAAAGACCAAGCTATGATTAGTAGCTTGGGATTTTTCAGCCCCATTTCCCATTCTCCTCCCCATTCTCCAGGGAGAGGAAAAGAGCTAAAGATGGAGTTAATGATTGGTTATGCCCATGTGATAAAGCCCCTATGACAATCCCTAAAGTAGGGCTTCCGAGAGCTTCTGCATGGGTGAGCACATGTTGGTGCTGGGAGAGTGAGGCGTGCATAGAGCATGGGCGCCCCACATACCCTGCCCTGTGCATTTCTTCCATCTGGATGTTCGTCATATCACTTCATAACCATTTATAATAGACTGGTCAACAGTAAGTAAACCATTTTCCCGAGCTCTGTGACCTACTCTAGCAAATTCATCGAACCCAAGGAAGGGACAGTGGGAACCTCAGATTTTTAGCTGATTGATCAGACGTACAGGTGACCACCTGGACTCGCTCTTGGCATCTGAAGTGGGGAGTGGAAGTCAGGGAGGGCAGTCTTGTGGGACTGAGCCCTTCATGGGCGGGATCTCAGGCTATTTCCAGGTAGATAGTGTCAGAGCTGAGTTAAGCCACAGGACACCAAGTGGGTGTCGCAGAGAATTTCCTGGTAGAGAAGAAACCCCATGCATTCATGTCTGAGGTGTCTATGCAGTAGTGAGAGTAAAGGAGACACACAAGAGGACTGAGCTTTCCCCCACTCATTGCATACAAGTATTCCATCTAATATTTCCTTTATGAAGGGTTATCATGGGAAAAGAAAGAAAAGGTTGGCACCCACTGAAGAGAAAAGGGGAACAAGGCACCTGTACCATAATGGGTGTGGAGGTTGTGGGCAGTCCTCAGGTGGAAGTTCCTATGGGGAAGACAAGAGTCTCATGCAACAGAAGAAAACAACAAAAACCCAGATATCTGATCAGTTGCTAGAGGGTCTATAGAATCTGGCTTCTTTAATCTTAGCCCAAATTACGCCAATGATAACAGGATTTTGAACACCTTATCTCCAATTCCTGATTGTAAGAATCTTGGAGTATTACTGCTGGGCTTCATTCATCCTTACACTTCCCACACAGCCTACTTGAGAGTCATGCAAATAGCAGACATGACGTGTTTCAGAGGGAATGAGAGAATGACTAGCACTATACTGGGAATCACAAGACCTTTCATTTTTCTATCGTTATTTCATTCAAGAAAGTCACTTAACACCTCTTAGCTCAAATCCTGCCATCTGTAAAATGAGGAAGTCAGGTTACATGGTTTGTAACTGCTAACGAACCATGTCCTGATGACGAGGATAACTTTTTTAAAGGAGCATGATATGTATCTATGGTATCAGAATCGACTCCTGAAGTTATACTGCTTGACAGCTTGGTTGCCGGTGTGAGAACAAGAAGCCATGGGACCAGACCTGACCTCTTACATCCTTGGAGTATGTATCTACTCCTTCTAGGCTCACTAGGTCAGGAACCTCTGAAAGGCAACTAAGACACTTGTATGTGTCCTTGAAAGAGGACTCCCTGAAGCTGATGAGGACCCAGTGGAGAGTTCTATACAATGCATTTGATATGCTGGGATATGAAAGAGGTGATACATAAAATGACAGATGAGGACAGAGATCCTTCTTCATCTAACACGCACTGCTGAGTACTTAAAAATGATACACTGGGACATTTAATAATGTATTCAAGTACAAAGAAAATTCAGGAAATATAAAAGAAGAAAACAATACAAGCTTCCGTCATGGGAGGGTGAGAGCCCTAGGGCCCTGAGCTGGCTGGACCCCCGTGGGTCTCTGTCCTCAGACTTTACAGAGCTGAGATTGGAGCTGGGGGTAGCGTTAGAGCATTGAGAGCAAGACCGAGTACATTCAGTGTGAGAGAAGGCACAGAGCCGTGGAGAACTTGTGGGTCAGGGTTCAGCACATGCTTTCTGTAGGGCTGGATTGTGAAATATTTCAACTTTATGGGCTATATGGTTTCTGCCACAGTCACTTAACTCTGCTGTTGGATGCAGGGGAAGGGGTGGGGGGAAAGCTAGAGGACAACATTAAACATGGCTTTGCTTCAATAAAATTTTGCTTACAAAAACAGGAAGTGATTTGGCCCCCTGGCTGTAGCTCACCACTCCTTCTGAGCTGACACGTATCAGTGGAGAGCAGAATGTTCACTTTGGTCGACCATCATTTCAAAGGCAGCTACTGAAAGTACAACACATCCTAGGATGTGATAGGCTTTGAAAGGAAGAAGAAGACACTGCACCTGCTTTCTAGAAATGTGTGACTCAGTCCTCTGGGGACAGCAGATCCTACTTGCTGTAAGCTGTTACATAGCATAAATGTTATAATTAATATACTTTTCATTTTTTAAGATTTTATTTATTTGAGAGAGAGAGCGAGTGAGCAGAGAGAACACAAGCAGGGGAAAGGGAAGAGGGAGAAGCAGGCTCCCTCCGCAGGGAGCCCAGTGCAGGACTTGATCCCAGGACACTGAGGTCACGACTGAGCCAAAGATAGATGCTTAACCGACTGAGCCACCCAGGTGCCCCTATACTTACTTTCTTTTAATAAATATATCACATATAGGACATCAATGTTTATAATGTGGTCCTCTGAACCTAATTTTACTATACCCAATGCCTGTTTTCTCAGGATAAGAAAAAAACCAACTTAACAGTAAGTGACAAATCAGGGGGAAATTTATAAAATATATCACAGGAAATGAGTTACTATTAACTCTAAGTGAAGACATAAGTAAAAAGATGGACAAAAGATGCATAGACAGTTCCCAAAAGAAGATAAAACCTATACATTTATGAAGATGTTTTATCTCACTAATAACTTTAAATGCAAAATAATGATGGAGTTGCCTGGGTGGCTCAGTTGGTTGAGCGTCCATCTCTTTATTTTGGCTCAGGTCCTGATCACAGGGTGAGATTGGGCTCTGTGCTGGTCGTGGAGCCTGCTCTAGATTCTCTCTCTCTCCCTCCACCCTTCCCCCCAACCCTCTGCTCACACTTGCTCTAAAGAAAGAAAGAGAGAGAGAGAGAGAGAAAGAGAGAGTAAGCAAGAAAGAAAGATGTACGGTTCTTAATTTCTAAATTAGCAAAATTGAAAAACAGTAACATCCAGCATTGGGACAGGTATAATGATTAAACTAGCTCTTTCATATATTGCTAGTACAAATTGGTACAACTTTTTAGAGGGCAATTCAGCAATACCGTTTGAGAGTCTTAGAAATACCTACAGGTTTACCCTAGTAATTTTGCATCTTAGAGTTTACCCATGGTAATAATCAGAGCTGCACACAGAGATTTATGTATAAGGCTATTGTGATAATACTTAAATAACAAAAACATAAAAGACTATGAGGTAGACATGAAATGTCCAGCAAGAGGGAATTAGTTAAGATAAATCCCAGTCCATGTATACAATAAAATATGAAAACTATTAATTATACTTTTAGCACATAGGTAATACTAATGACATAAAATTAAGTTAAAAAAACTATACCAAGTTATATATGCATTATAATTTAATTTTATGAAATTTAAATACAGAAAGATGTTAGAAATTAAAGTAATATTAAGTATTAACCATGGTAATCTGTGTGCAATGGATTATAAATTATTTTTGTTTCCTTTATGCCTTTTTATTTTTCATTTTTGTTCTGAAAAAATGATGTAATTTGAAAAATGTTCTCAAAGTTTTGACATGCCCAACAACTAAAATTAAGCAAGATTTATCTTTCAGTAGTGAGACAAATTTGGTCAAAATCAGTTACCTTTTACATTTACTGCAGAAGAAACTATAAGAAACACAGACAAAGGAAGAGTCAGGCAGACAAATCATTTCCAAACCCTTCAGTTAAGTTCTGTCAGAGATTTTGGTGACAGTGTTGTTCTGCCCCCTCCATATTTACTCAGCTATTCATGATTCCAAAACACATCAGGTGCAGGGTGCCAAGGCCACACATATCCTTTTGTTGCTGAGAGAGGTAGTGAGCTAAGCAGAAATCCCTAAATAGTGAGTCTGAATATCTGGGGTGGCAGGTTCATGGCTCAAGGGGTTTTAGACAGAGCCCTGGCCCCTCGGACAAATCTGTGACCAGATAACAGAGAGTCACTTACTTCTATTTTTTTAAGGCTCAGGGAAGTCTGACAAATCCACTTACTCCAGCCAAGACTGCCCCCTTCATGTCTTGGTGGCTGTGATGATTAACTTTTTGTGTCAGTTTAGCTCAACTATTGCCATCAGGTGACCTTACATAAAGCAGATTACCTTCTAGAATGTGGGTGGGTCTCAGTGAATCAGTTTAAGAGCAACCAAGATTCCCCAGAGAAGGAATTTTGCCTCAGACTGTAGTATAGATACCCCACCTGAGTTCCCAGCGTGCTGGCCTACTCAACAAATTTTGGATTCCATATTTCAAGTCTTAGTGAACTTGCAGACCGCAAGCCTGCCCTACAGATTTCATTCACACTTGCCAGTCTCCAAGTGGTTCTGTGGTTCTGTTCCCTGGGAGAAGCCTGAAGTACCCCTCCCTCAGCAACAGGTATCAAGTTTTCTTGGCAACCCAAACAGGGGCCCCAGACCCATCCTCTTTCCATTCCCCAAATCAGTATTTCCATGTCCTGTTTCCTCTTCTTCCTGGGGGGATAGTCTCCAAAATGCTAAATTAGTTCTCCATAAAGAGTTAACAACTGGTGAGCAACTTTATAGGGAGGAACTTAAAAAAAATCTGCTGAAATCTAACACATTGGTATTTGTCTTGACAAAATCATAAAACATTATGCTAAGGAAAAATGAGCCGTTTTTTCCTTTAATATTCCACTGCCATTGATCACTGTCAATTTCTACATTTGAACCAACCCACAAATAACTTTGAATGCAAATGGAACACATAAAACACAACATAATGTGTCAGCATTACCCAAGTGTTAAAATATGTAGGTATATGACAGATAAATATCATGTATCTTTGTGTTTTATCTGACAAACAGACAAACACAAAACCGTTTTTTGCATAAGAGCATCTATTCCAAGTTTAGCAAATTATATGGCCAAGATCTATGACTTCCCCCCACCCCTCACCCAAAGCAGACATCATTCATCAATCACCACACTCCGCACCTAGAAATGGTCTCCCAAACCATCCTCATCTCTGCCCTAGGCACCTCCTCAACCTGACAGGGGCCTGTTTGCCCTCCTCTGCTTTTGGTCCAACCTTCTAGGTTGTCAGTTTTACAAAACTAAAGCCCAGAAAGGGGGTTGAGCTTACCTAGAATTGTATAGCTAGCTCACAGAAAAACTTGAATCTAATTCTCTTGATTTTTAATCATGATCTCTTTTTTACAAAAAAGAAATATTTCAGGCACAGAACAAAGTATAAGAATAATATCATCAACATCTGCATACCCACACCCGGAATGATATCAACATTTGTGTACCCACCCTCAGAATATCAACATCTGCATGCCCACCCCCAGAACGATATCAACATCTGCAGGCCCACCCCAGAATATCAACATCTGCATGCCCACCCCCAAAATGATATCAAGATTTGTGTACCCACCCCCCGAATGATATCAAGATTTGCATGCCTACCCCCAGAAAATATCAACATTTGCATGCCCACCCCCAGAATGATATCAAGATTTGTGTACCCACCCCCCGAATGATATCAAGATTTGCATGCCTACCCCCAGAAAATATCAACATTTAACATGCCCACCCCCAGGATAATATCAACATTTGCATGCCCCCCCAGAATAATATCAACATTTGCATGCCCCCCCAGAATAATATCAAGATTTGCATACCCACTCCCAGAATACTGTTTGCATCTGTATGCCTACCACCCAGCTGAAGAGGTTAAAATTGGTGTTTATAATTTCCTTGCTGTTTTTTTTACTTTCACTTCACATGACTATTTCCATAAACACTATGTAAAGTTCTTTGTCAGCTTTTAAACTCCGTAATTGCCAGTATACTGTCTATATCTTTCTGAAATCTATTTTTCCTCTCAAAATTATACTTCAGAGTTATCCATCCACAAAATACATCCAGTGCTGGTACTTCCATTTTAGTTGTTATATATACACTCTATTCATCTGTTCTCCTGTTGATTCACATCTGATTATTTCTAATTTGTTACTCTTATAAATAATAGTACAGGAATATTCCTATGTGAGTCCTCTGTGGTGTATACCTAAGTGGTCCTGACCTCTTTACAGCATACCCCGCATTCTCAGGCAAGTGCCAGGGAGGGGTGAAGAAGAGAGAGGACGAGTCTCATTCTCTCACCTCCTTGACTCTCCCTTCCCCTGGTTGGAGGGTACAAAGGGTGACTATATGTAATCAGTTGGGGGAAAAGAGGATTAGTCTAATTTCTTTAATTTGACTTTTGGCCAAGATATTTACTTTATTTTGAATTTCAGATACCACTAAAAAAGGGTATGAGATTTTTCTGTTTATAAGGAGATGTATTGTTAAAAATGGTTGTGGTACCCTGTTAATCCAAAGAAATCACTCTATAAACAGTACAATATTCACACCATGTGGGGGCCATAGGATGGGACATTTGAAATGGCTGCAAGCCTTTGAGCATCCCTCATTCCTCAGACAGACGGTTCTGCCTTCGTTACTCAGATACAATACTTTCTCTCTAGGACAGAGGCTGCAACTAGTCATTAATAGGCTCAATTAGCCTATGGACATGTTTTATTTGCTTTGTTTGGGATTTGAAATACTTTCAGGACATTTTATATAAAATTTTGGATTTCCATCTTCTCGGACAGCCTTAGGCTAGTGCTAAATTGACAGCACTAGCCCTCCATTTTGTCACCATTCCCGATCTGGTTAAAGAATGTCCTTTTTCCTCACTTCAGCACCTGCCTGGCCCTGTGGGCATCTAACTTTACCACCTCTGCTCTCGGGACTTTTCACTCTATCCTCCTCACACTCAGCAACTGAAGGAAACACTTACACAAAGCTTGGAGCTCATGAAACTCAAGACAGATGCTGAGGCCGCTCCCAGGGAACGCTCCTGCAGATCAAGAGGACCGAGCTATAGGAACACAGGAGTGTTCTTTCTCAAGAAACAGGTGTTTCAATCAGGATGGCCAGCATTAATCTGAAGCTTTTTTGAGTCAAGAAAATCTCGCTGCTGATTCAGAGAAACGCAGCACAACTGGACCTCAAGTAGAGTCCAGGTCTGAGCGGCATTTGCTCCTTGGGACAGGTATTACGGTAACGGGTGTATTTCACGAGTGGCTTTCAGGGAGGTGGCAGCAGGTGCGGGGGGTGGGGGGAGGGCCGAACTTCATCCCTTCCAGTCATACTCTGTGCTCATGAGTTGCCATGTGTCCTGTATTAGCCAGACACAGATCCCGGTATTAAAAGTTTTCTAGAGTTGTTTTACGGTTGGTGTCTCTGGAATTTTATAGATACATTCAGCCGAATTCTCAAATGACCAGCTCTGAATATTTTGAGTAGCTGACAACAAGGTTATTTAGAAATTTCTGTGAATTGCCTATAATTCTGGTGAACTCATGAATTCATGTGTCACATCATGTGATTGCTAGATTACAAAAGGAGGGTGGCTTTCCCAAGAAAGTTAGAAATACCCACTGTACAATATGACCCAGGCCTGTGGGTCCCCAAAACAGCATTTCCCCAGCCTGAGTGATTTTAGCAACCCCAATTCTCCTGACCTCCACGTCACATCTACAAATTCCAGCTCCAAGCCTGTCAGCCTCACGGAGAGCCTTCTACTCCTCCCCCATCAAATTCTTGACCTCAAGCGGCCAACAGTGTACTTAGTAATCGTTGTAAAACCATGAGCTGTTGATTGCTTTGCTGTTGAATATCTTCCCTTGCTGTTAAGTGTTAACCATGTTATTAAGTATCTAAGCCCAGATGTCCTGTGCAGCTGCCCTTAGGAATAGAGACAGACTGAAGGCTCTACAACTTTCTATGGCTGTACCCAAACACCCTTTTCTTCCCAAGAAGGGTGTGGAACGACATGTTTGTAACAACAGCTAGTGGAAGTGCCATCCAACAGGAAGGTTCTGTACAGGCTGAAAGCATCCCGTTGCTCTTTGTGCACACACAGCACAGGGGCTATTGCTTAATTCAGGTTGGGAGACAAAAAGGTAAGAAAAACCATGACTACTCACAGCTCTGTCCACTTCCCTCCTTATGGCGGCAACAGATTTTTTTGTTGCGTCTGAAAAAGAGAAATTCCAGTGAATTCCAGTGAATAAGAGTAGCGAGGAAAGTATTCTGTTCCTAGATGAAAACACAGCAGAACAAAGTTTAATCCAAATAAATCACATGCAGAAGTCCAAGTGTGCACTGTGGCTCGAGACCTCAGGCTGAAGGACAGACAGGGGAGAATTGTGCCCTTAGGTGAAAACTGCAAATAAGGCAATCCTCTACTTTCCGTTCCTTCCTCAGTCACTGGTCCCAGGCACTCCAAGGCTGAGGGACTGATGATTTGGATAATCAGCCCAGGAAACTTCCAGCTTCAGGAGTTCCTCTCCATTTTCTGCTTTGCTCTTCACTTCAAGAGGTCGGACCAATTAATTCACACTACGGTGTACATGACAGATAATATTCCAAAGCAACTCAGGGGGCAGAAGCACAAGTTCACATAATGGGATGCCACACACCATTGTTCCCCTGGTTTCTTCTCTTCAACCACTGACATCACACGTCCCCCCTCACTCTGATTTTCTTTGAGCTTGATGCCCATGTCCTGCAGTTGCCTGGATTCCTGAACTCAGGGAATCCCTAATTCAGCTTTTGCTCTGCACACCAGCTTTTTAGGAACTCCTTCATGACAATACTGACCTTGACCTGGACTTTGAGGTCCTCCATCCAGCATTGCCATCTCCTCTAAGAGGATTCACATTTGAAAAGAGTCTAGGAGTTAACCCACAGAAATTGCCCTTACATGGTGGAGTTTCAGGGCAGTGCTCTCTAAGGCTTGGGGTTAGTGCTGCCATTCTGTGGTTCTTAAGCAACCTTTGGCCAACATATTTGGTCTTTGGTTTAAATCCCTGTAAAGTTCTGGCTCAGTCTTTTAGGGCAGTGCCATTCAAAGTGTAGAGCTCATGGGTTAGTGGTGGTAGGTGACCTACTGCTTACCAACCCACAATGAGACAGTTACAGAGATCTAGTGTAAACCTTTAGAAACTTTTATAGTAATTCTTTTACTGTGTTTTTTCCCTGATACTCATTGAAATGTCATATATTTATTGAATCCAGTAAAAGCTGGGCTAGTATGTCTTTTTATTTTACTTTTTGGTAATCCTATTTTTAGTATATATATTACAAAAGCATTGACCCTAGCATATTAGAAATATAAGAATAAATGGTTCCTTACCCTAGAGAGGTTGAGAAATACTGTGCGTAAGATCCACAGGCCCGTCCTAGGTATCTGGTCTCTAGATGTCTAGGCAACACTTTGTGGATTCTGTTCTTGGCTTTCCCATTGGCTCAACCAACAGTCAAGCCCCTTGATTCTTTTGGGTTGAAACTCTCTCCTTCCATTGCTCAAAATAATACTATTCAGATTGAGCCAATTTTTCTTAAGCACTTTGGTAACAAAAAGGCCACAGATTTTAGTGTCTGACAGACCTGTGTTCACACCCCAGCTATATGACGTTGGGAATATTTTCTGAACTTCTGTTTCTTCATCTGCAATATACACTCTACTTCTTGCTTCAAACAGTTTTTGTAAAATTAACTGAACAGGAATTTGTAAAGGGTCTAGCTCAGTGCTGTCCAACAGAACTTTCTGCAAAGATGAAAATTTTGTATATTTTCTCCGTCCAGTGCAGTGGCCTCTAGTCCCATTGTCACTATTAAACATTAACAAGGTGTAGGCACTTAAGATGTGACCAAGGAATTAAATTTTTATTTAATTTAAACTTAAATGACCATGTATGGCTATTGTACCATACAGAGCAGGTTAGCATGGCTACCTGCATATAGTAGGCTCAATGTGTCAAATATTATTGAATATCTACATATGTCAGGTAATGTCTTAGACAGTGGACATGTATTAGTGAATAAGAGAAACACAGCCCTTATGGTTATGAATAAGAACTTGATATTAATTTTACAACAGAAGTTGCCAGATTCTTCTCCAGAACCTAGTGAGTCTCCTGGAGTCCTGAACCTCTGAGGGCTCCACTTATGTAGAGACGGTAAGCAGAACCTTTTATGGACTGACCCCGGCTGCCCTCCCCACACATCATGGTGTGCAGAGCTGGGCACTGAGACATAGGTGGGTAAATGGAGCCAAGGGGCCTTCTCAACAAACGGGGCTGAGATTGCCACCCCTTTACTTGACTCTCTCAGATAGATTCAGAAGTTCAGGACAGCACCGGCCCTAAAAGGAGCTCAAGAGAAGGAAGTTAAGGGATGCCTGGGTGGTTCAGTGGGTTAAGCCTCTGCCTTCGGCTCGGGTCATGATCTCAGTGTCCTGGGATTGAGCCCTGCATCGGGCTCTCTGCTCGGCAGGGAGACTGCTTCCTCCGCTCTCTCTGCCTGCCTCTCTGCCTACTTGTGATCTCTCTCTCTGTCAAATAAATAAACAAAATCTTAAAAAAAAAGAGAGAGAGAAGGAAGTTAAGACTGACATCTCAGGCTTAACGTGAAGGCCTTGAGGCGAGGAGGCTGGTTGGGCGCAGTGGTAGTTAAAGAAGGAAGCCCCTTCGGCCTCATCAGCTCTTGAGGGTCTTGCTGTGGGAGCAATGGCAGAACAAGTGAGGGGAGCCAGAAAGTTGTCATGTTGGATCATTCTGGTCTGTGTTGGGATCTGGACCAGCAAGACTGGGGGATGGAGAACCTCCCTCCCCAGAGGGAACAGAGATGCACACGGCAGGAGTGGGAATAGCAATAGCAGCAGCTCATAACCAGGGCCCGCTGGGGAACTGACCTGGCTCCCCAGGAGCCTCCCGGCCTGTTCGGAAGCGGCAGCACTGTTGGTGAACTTAGCCTCCTGACAGTCTGTAGGAGGTGGGGAAGTAGAAGCTGTAAGAGGGAGACATTGGACTTCTGGCTAAGACAGGCAAGTGGGTGCTCAAGGTATTAATTAGAAAATTAAAAGGGAGGCAATTGCATTTGGAGCCCAGGGTATTCAAAGGGGCCCTAGATATATAAGGGTGTGCTGAGTGTATTGAAAGAAGATGTAGGTACTACGGAAGCATCTCACAAGGGGATTTGCTGTAATGGGTGTGACGAGGGGGCGGAATCAGGGGAGACTTGATGAAGTGGCAACTTCACTGAGATTTGAAGGATAACAAACTTCAGTGAACAAGGAGAAAGAAGTACTTTAAGAAGAGCAAATGCTGAGGGTTGCCAGAGGGAAGGGGGGGCGGGGTAATTGGGGGATGGACATTAAGGAAGGTACGTGATGTAATAAGCACTGGGTGTTATATAAAACTAATGAATTTCAGACCTGTACCTCTGAAACCAATAATACATTGTATGTTGTTAATATAAAAATTGATGTTGAACAAAATTACTAAAAATGAAAGATAACAATGAATTAAAAAAGAAGAAGAAGAAGAAGAAGAAGAAGAAGAAGAAGAAGAAGAAGAAGAGAGAATGTTGCCTGAGAAAACTCAGAATTGAAGGAAGCCATGGAGGAGGTCCAATCATGGAGACATGGTAGACTAGTGGCATTTAAAAGCCTGTTCTAGCTAAAAGTGAAAATAAACTATATCGGAAGTGGCAGGAGTGGATGGAGGGAGACAGCTCGGAAGGTCCTGTTCTAGTTCAGGTGAACTCCAATAGGGACAGCGAGGTTGGGTCGATAAGCCACGAAGAGCTCATTCTCATGTCACCACCCATTTTACAGGTAGAAAAGCCATCTAAAGAAGTTAGGTGACTCGTACAAGGTCACGGAGCCAATACATGGCAGCACTGGGTGCAGACCTAGCCTTCTGACCCTGGCTTGGAGCTCGACTAACAGTGCCAGCCATTCTCAACCTTTTTCCATGACACATGAGTCTGTGTGCATGGCAGATGCATTTCCGCATGTGTGCATGTGTCTCCCATGAGAGAAAGCAGAACTCAGTGCATGCGAGTTGTGGGGTGGGGGTGAAGAGTGGGTATTATATAGGCAGCCATGATTTTACTCTGGCTCATTAAAAACAAAAAAGGAACGATTTGCAGATTTATTTGCTTAACTCTCGTTAGCAACAAGGGTCTCCCACCACAGTTGGCACCCGAGTCTTACACCCAGCTTGGAGCTACAGATATCCTTGCCCCTTCTTGAGACTGGGATGAAGGATGAGGGGAAGAAGTTTTTCTTCTCTATCTTGAGTATGACCCATTTCATTCTTCCAAAGAGAGTCAAGACAGAAAATTCTTGCTCATTCCTGAGGTGACTGAAGGGTTGTCAGGCCCCAGGCCTAGAACTAGGTATAAATCTGTTTCTGAGGGGTGTGCATGGGAGAGGAGAAAGAAGATGGCAGAAGACAAGATTCTAATGAGGGGCATCTACCATGCTTCTCTGGGGTCACAGACTTGCAGAAGTGATCTTGTTTAGTTAAAGTTCTATCAGTTGCTGTAAATCCTCCTCTATGGTGAGATGCCCTTCCTCTCCATTTCTGTAATTTCTCTCTCTTTCTTTTTCTTTTCCCCTTCTTCCTCTTTTCCTCCCTTCCTTCTTCACTTCTTCCTTCCTCCTCATCCCCCTTTCTGTTGACAATAGTACGTCAGATTTTATAGCAGAGGGTTTTGTGGTTAGCACACAAGTTGATGCATACATAGGGCAACGGACAAACAGAGCACGAGAGAGAGTATCAGAGCAGGAGCAGAGAATATCTTATGGCAGAAGAGAACACAGAAGTTAGATTATAGATGTAGCATGACAACAACCTAAAGGTCCCCCGATTCTCAAAGAGTGGCCACGCCAAATTCCTATGGAATTATTTCCACATGTCATTTCTTTTCTATAGACAAGGCCATGTGTAGACTTTGGGAGCAGCTCATTGGGTGCTGACAAAGGAATAGTTTAGGAAAGTACCAGACAGTCTGCAGATATTGTGGCCATGGTTCAAATGTTGCACAACAGGAGTGGATGGGTGACAATAGGACAGGCTAAGGAGGGACTCCTGGAGCTGCTGAAAGACTTCAGGGCACCATCAAAACAGGCACTTTTCCTGTCCCCAAATGGCCTCACACACTTTTCTCCTTTCCTTACGAACCAGGGCATTCAGATTCCTGGGGGTTTGGGGGAAGGCTTAGCTCAGCCTTACACCCAGTTGGGGGAAACGAAGGATGAGAACTGAAGGAATCCTCTGAAGCGATCTTGGTACCCTCCCACCCACGAACTCTGACACACAGCCATCCGCATTGCCAAAATAACACTGATCTCATGAGGCTAAGGACACTTCTTAGCTCAAAGAACAAAGCAAACTATTTTAGCACAGGAGCAAAACATTCCTTTTAAAAACAGCATGGGGGGGGCGCCTGGGTGGCTCAGTGGGTTGAGGCCTCTGCCTTCGGCTCAGGTGGTGGTCTCAGGGTCCTGGGATCGAGCCCCGCATCGGGCTCTCTGCTCCACGGGGAGCCTGCTTCCTCCTCTCTCTGCCTGCCTCTCTGCCTACTTGTGATTTCTCTCTGTCAAATAAATAAAATCTTTAAAAAAAAATAAAAATAAAAACAGCATGGGGATTTCAGCTCACTGAAGACTAGAGCCATTTTCTTCTGGGGAAAAATCATCAGGACGGGCCCTCTGAGCCCAAAGTGATGCATGAGGCTTTGAGGAGATTCGTGGGAAACTGGGAAGCTGTAGGCCACTGGAGAGAAGCAGAACCCCACACTGCAGACACCAGTCCATTCAGTTACCTTGAATAAAACTCAGGTACTTACCTTTTCTAAAAGGAAGCTTTTGGAAGAGCTGTTTTCTTAGGCCTATCATTGTAGCTACGAACATCAAAACAATGATGAAGGAAGGGATGAAAACATGAAGCAGCCAGTTTGAAGAGGTGCCAGGTTCTTTGCCACCTGGATGAAAAAAAGGCACCAGAATCCCATTACATGGTAGCTTAGAGGTAAACCAACAAGTTGGCCCTCTGAGTAGATTATAACCAACACAGCCAATGTGCAGTGAGCATTTATTCCATGCCAGGTACTAATCTGTGTGTGCTGCGTGTACTAGCTCATTTCCTTCTCACAACCCCCTAAGTGGCAGGATTTGCAATGACCCTCATTTTCCTGATAAAGACAGTGAGGTGCAGAGAGTGTAGGAAACTTTCCCAAAGTTACACAGTAAGAGACAGAGCTGAGATATAATCTAGGCTGTCTGGTTCCAGATTCTGTGTTTTTCATCATTCTGATACCTCCATCCATCCATCTATCTACCTATCATTATCAATTTTGTTTCCAGTAGGATAGTCTCTGAACCCAAACATGTCTTCTCTCTCCACTGTCAAGCACTCGCAGTGCTCAGAAGCTATGCCATTAATCGTTCAATTTCAAGAATTAACAGGATCTTTTGGGAAAATATAATATTGTAGATAGTATTAACGTACAAAATCCAGTCATTCATACCTCAGTATGAATTACTACAATGGGGTCTTTCCTTGGCTCAGCTAATCAATGTTCTGGCACTGAGGAAATGTGAGTTTAGTAGAGAGGTGGATGAGACGAGCAATTTTGGAGACCAGGGAAGGTCTTGTAGAGGAGAGCTCTGGGTATCTATAGATTAGAATACGGGCTCCAGACTGACAATGGGAAGGACTGGAGGGGGCTTCATAATAGGAGGTAGAAGAGTACCCAAAGTAAGCTGTGCTTTTTCCAAAAGCCTGAATTTTGCCCTGTGGAGTAAGTTATACAGAATAAACACAAGAGCCTAGTCCAGGAAAAACCTGGCAAAACGGCTGGGGAGGAAGGGCTCAGTCCTGCCAACTGCCTTCCCTCTCTCCCATCTCAATACCTTCTGAGAATTATTGAATTTTTTAGCTGAGAAGGGATTAGACATCATTTAATCTGAGCCTCTCATTTTAGAGCTCAGGAAGTAAGGCTCAGAGATACTCAATAATCTATCTGAGGTTATCACTGCTAACTAAGTGGCAAAGTAAGGGTTGTGAGCCTGGATCTGTTTGATCCAAAGCTCAGGCCCCACAGGTATTTGTCTCTACTGAAAACAGTGTGGGGAACAGTAAGCAAGAAAGGATTCAGAAGCCCTGCTCATCTACAGGTTGGATAACCCACACTGACTACAACTGATTCTTTACTTTTTAGGAAATGCTTACTAAGAACCACTGCAGTGGCTACATGAGTCAAGGAGCCCTGGGACCTTCAGAGTCCTCACAGCAGGAGAAATCCCTGCCTCAGCATCACCCTGCAAACCTGTGTCCTTTGCAGGTTCCTTCAAAGCCCCTTCCATGTATATAAGCTCTATCCATCCCTGAAGACTTTCTAACAATGAACATTGGTGTGCTCAACCTGCAAGGATTTGGAGTGCAAAGACTTCACCTGAGTCACCTCTGAATCCCCTATAGAGCCAAATACCATTTACATGAAAGATGTCAGTAAGGATTTGGGGCGATAAATTAATCATCTGTCTACCTAGTCTGCCTGGCCCAATCCTTCCTGTCCTTAGTTACCTTGTGGCAGACTGATGTTTATCCCTTAAATCCATTCTCCCTGTCTTCCCTATTAGGGCATTAGCTGGACACATGGCTCCTCAAGACTACATTTTGGAGCCTCCCCTGCAGTTAGGCATGGCCAACCATGAAAACTCAGTTCAGGTCATGGGTCTTCTGAGTCTTGGCCTTCAGATAATGGATAGGTCTTCCACCATTCTTCTCCCTTTTGGAAACATGGATGTGGTAGTCATCCAGCTTTCACAGTTCCAAAGAGACAATATTCTACAGAATGGGGGAGCAATAAGATGGAAAGAACCCAGAAGGAACAGAATATAGATACTTCCCTGCTCTGAGTCACCTTCTATCTCTAAATATTACATAAGAGAGAAATATGTTCCTGTCTTGTTGGAGTCATATTTTGAGGTCTCTCTGTTATGGAAGCCTAGTCTATACCCTAATATATATTCTTATAGATTATTTTACAATAATTACATGTTACTTAACAATGATATGATGATGCAGTGGAGAACTATGTTTTATCCTTGCCACAATCCCATGCACTCTTGTTAGAGACACTATCTTTTTCCCCGTTTCCACATTGAGTGCTGAGGACTTTGCAAGCATGTTTCATTCAATCCCCACAATCATGCTCTAAGGTATCTATCATTATTCACCCTTATTCTACAAATGTGAGACCAAGTTCTAGGATGTCTCGGTTATATGTTCATGTTCTCAAAGCTAACAGCAGCAGAAAGAGAATTTAAAGACTCTTGAAGACTGTCAGAGAGTCCCCTCCAGGTCTCTTGGGACCTTCACTTCCTAACCCACAAGAATGTTGTTAGAGTTATTTCCAGTCTCCAATTTCATTACATGTCCTCATGAAAATGCAACAAGGCTGGCCAAGCAGAAGAACCCTTGTTTCAAAATGAAAATGCTTTCATTGCCCTTTCATTTCTGGTTAAAAATTAAGATGTTCAGTCATATCCTAGAGCCACTGGAGCACCTCCCATCACCACACTCTCATTGCTGTATTTGCTTTATTCATTGACTTCTGAAGAAGTATGTGGTGGGTCACAGAAGTCAGCAATGAGCAGCTCAACTGATGAGAATGAGTAGAAAGGGGACAGTCATAAGACAACTTAAAAATCCCTTTGAGGGACGCCTGGGTGGCTCAGTTGGTTAAGCAGCTGCCTTCGGCTCAGGTCATGATCCCAGCGTCCTGGGATCAAGTCCCACATCGGGCTCCTTGCTCATCAGGGAGCCTGCTTCTCCCTCTGCCTCTGCCTGCCATTCTGTCTGCCTGTGCTTGCTCTCTCTCCCTCTCTCTCTCTGACAAATAAATAAATAAATAAAATCTTTAAAAAAAAATCCCTTTGAGAATTAGATGTGAGGAATCGTGGGAGGATGTATGACTTTGGTCATTTGTTGCTGGTATTTGGACCACAAACTAGGGGATCATTTGACTGCTGAGATCTGGCAGCCCACACAGTCTGGAAGCTGGGATAATGGGACTGGGATTATTAAGGCTCATCTTCCAACCCACTAATCTGTCATTTATTGAACACTTAGAATAGGGAGACTGCTCTGTTTTTGCTTTCATCTGGGTATAAAGAAGACCCATGTGAACAATTAAAATACATGGAAAGTAAAATAGCAACGAACGATAAAAGACATATATAGTCACAGGCAAACAAAGTCATGGTACATGTAATCAGTCTTAGGAGGAGAGATAAGGTAAAAACCTCTTGTGCCCCGGAGTTCTCTAAGCTGCTCTGGAGAGAGGGTGGGCTTCAAGTTGGTGAAGAGGGTGATTATATTTTATGTGGGAGAAACTGCCTGAGCAAAGAAATCACGAAAGTGGGAGATGTGCAAACAAGTTCAGAGAGCACATGGTGAGGAAGGGGAGCTGACTAGAATGCAGGAACAATGTCAGTGGGTAGAAGCATGGATATAACTCTAAGCATCTTGGTAGAAATGAAGTCATAAGAAAAGCCTCATTTTTAGGGTCAACTTTGAGTAAAAATAGTGAACTAGGCAAGTTGGTCTTTCAAAATTTTCTATCTCTTTTTATCACAGTGACGATCCCCAGACTTGTCACCTTATGAAAACTGAGCTGTAACTAATTCATACTAGAACTTCAGAGGCATTTAAATGCTAACAATCACAGGGGGATTTATTTTTCTTGAAATTGCTTAACTGTCCTTTGCTGTGTGGAATCTCTTGCCTAGTTAAGTGCAAGCCAGTACTTTGGATGGAATGCGGTTTTCCAGAAGGGTCAGGGAAATAGGGGCCTGGGTAAGATGAATTTAGAAATAACTAGAATCTAGCCTTTGCACCACTGATTACATCAGTATTTTTTTCTTTGTGGTGGAGAAGTGAAAGAGCACACTGACCATTCCTCTGGAAACCTTGAACTAGTGAAAAGTTACAGATGAAGTAGGGTGGCCCTTCTTTCCATGGAAGCCAGCATAGCTGACGGCAGACTCAACAGCTTGTGGGTCTACATCAGCTCAGGATCTTCTAGGATATCACTCATATATGCAACTGGCGAAGAGATAAGGAGACCTTTGTGCAGCTAGAGATCTTTCACCCATCCTTGCCAGAATTGTATCCACGCAACCACCCCCTGACATGGCTCCTGGGCTCCAGTCAGCTCCCCTTCCTCACCACGTGAGTCTCTGATTTTTGTGACCTGCATGCTCAATAGTAACAATGAAAAGGTAATTACGACCACTGTTCAGGACAAGACAACTAAAGGCTCAGTTCTCTCAGGCCTGGAACTCAGAGTCTCCAGTCCTCTCCCCACCCCCAGAGAAGCAGACTGTGCCATCTGAAGTGCTGAGTGAGGGAAACCTAGAATGTCCGGTGGATGAGAGAGATCTCAATGACCAGTTATGGCTTGGGATCAACTGTAGCAGCAGGAACTGTAATCTGTTCTCTGAACTCTTGCATATGAAATCTTTTGAAGAGATCATGGCTGCCTCCCAGCCTGAAGGGTTAGTCACAGTGGACTTAATGTAGGGTTGTAGGTGAACTTGAGCATGCAAGGGACAGACTGCTGTAGTCCTACCCCACCGCCTCTCACTTCCCCTCTAACTTCAGCCATGGCTCAGCAGAAGTCTAAATGGATTTCAATCACCTCAAATGGCTACTTTGCTTTCTGTCCTGGGATGACTCTGACAGTGCAGATGCTGGGGGGGGCTCACTCAGCACACACGCATGCATAGCTCATGGGGGAATGGCCTGTGCAATCCTGGACACTACTGTCAATTTGTAGGGGTGAAAGTAGATGACCTTCACCTGACGTGCTCTGAGTGAGCATCTGAGGAGGCCATCTGTACACTTCTCAGGTGGTCCTTGGGTATCTGGGCTCTGTTTTCCCAACAGCAACAACTTTGATAATGTACCCTTATGTTTACTCTTCCTTCTGCTCTGTCTGAATCGCCCCAACCTCTCCTTTTTGCTCCCCGAGGTCGCCACTTAAATACTTAGATGCTACACAAGCTCCTGTCACACGCTCTGTTTTGTCTAACTAACATGAAGGGCAAAAGGTGAAATACAATGACAACACAGTAAATTTTCTATAAAGTCATATTTAAGTAGTGCTAGGGACTGTCCTTTATTCGGAGATTATGTCCTTTACTGGTATGGTAGGAGAATACTGAGTCCCCTCAAAGAGGTCCATGTTTGAATCCCTGAAACCTGTGAACATGTTATCCCACATGGGAAAAGGGATTTTGCAGATGTGATTATATTCAGGACCTTGAAATGGGAAAGTTAACCTGAATTATTGGGTTGTGGGAAGGCATCCAATGTAATTAGAAGGGTCTTTATAAGGTGGAAGAGTGAGACAGGAGAATTAAAGAAAGATGTGAGGACACAGAAACAGAGGTCTGAGGCATGTAGCTTTTGGCTCTGCAGGGGGAGGAAGGAACCATGAGCTAAGAAAGGCAGGTGATCTCTAGAAACTGGGAAAGATGAGAAAAGGAACTCTCCCTTAGAGCCTCTGTCACCCTATCAACACCTTGGTTTGAACCCAGCACAGCCCCTTTTGGATTTCTGATTTTCAGAAGCGTAAGTTAATTAATGTTGTCTTAAGCCCATGAAGTTTGCAGTAATTTGTTATAGGAGCACTAGGAAAATTATGACGTGCTTGGTGATAAAATGACCTCTTATGAAAGAATTTTGGTACTAGATATAAGTTGCTCTTACTTAGCAAATAAATGGTCTTATTCGGCAAATAAAAAATAGACTCCCAAAATCGTGTGAAATTGTCCTGGTGTCTGAAGATCTAAAGGGTGGGACTCAGCATACTCAGCAAAGGCTCTGATTTTACAAAAGACCAGTTTTCCTTGGAATCCCCATAACCACTTGATTATCAGCAAAGCCAGCAAAGTAATATTCATCCTGCTGATTCCTTGCACTGTGCCTGAGTCACAGCGACTCACTTTTGTGGATATTTTCTGTTTCCTCTTCAGATCCATTCTCTACACTGCCACACTGTGCTCTGAGCTCTGAGAGGTTGACCTTTATGGAACACATCAGTGGACTCCCTTGTTTTCTGACTTCTAGTGGCTTCAGCCAATGGGAGGCACCAGCAGGAGATTGGGAGGTGGGAGGAGGCGGAGGCTGGGGAGTTCATTTACCCAGCTTCCATCTTGCAGAGTTGTTACAGGTGGCGGAGTCCCTCTATTGGAGGCCACTGCTCCTGTCAAGGGGCACTTTCCCTGCAGCTCCCTTTCCCAGGATTCAGTAATCCCTCCAACAGTGGTAACTGCTTCTCTGACTGGGGAAGCCCCAGGGTCCTGCAATACTCTTCCTAGCTTCTCTAAATCCGGCCACACCTTCATACATAGGTCTTTCATCCCTCTGTCCTCAAATGACTCATTCTGAGTGTGCCATCTATTTCCTGCCTAAACCCTGACCGAGGGAGTTAGGAAGGGGGGAGCCACTCTTACCACTTTCACCATATTCAATGACGGCTGAAAAACGTTCGTCCATGTTAGCATTCCAGAACACACAGCTGACGTTCCCGCCAGGGTGCAGCTTGAGGCGCAGAATGCTGGTGACCTGGTAGAGGCCATCAGCGGTCTTGATGTGGCTGGTGTTGGCAGGAACGCTGATGTTTGACCAGGATACTTCTGCCAACGGATAACCTTCAGCCTGGCAGGTGAGCTCTACCTCATCTACCCCGGGGATCCTAAGTAAATAAGTGTTTATTTTCTTGTAGGAAGCTGGATAATAAAAGAAGAAAAAGAAATAATCTTTCTTTTCTGGTTCCGAGACGGCTTTGGACTTGATAACACGCGAAATGAATAAAATTATCATTATCGATACTAAGTAATAATGGCCTTACTTTTTTACACATTTCTTTGCCTCAGATAGCACCCTATTTACACTGAATGATATAATTCTTATAACAAAAATGGCATTGTTGATAGTCCCAATTTTTGTTGGAAGTAACTGAAGTGAGATTGAGTATTTTTCCCAAAGTCACGGGGCTAACAACTGGGAGAGTCGATGTTTGCACACCAGAAGTCTGATTGCACATCTCAACAGTACTTTATCCCACCACACTCTGTGGCTTCCTGTATTATTCCAAATTATCTCACGGCTGAGGACTGGAGAAAAGAGAGGGGGATAAATAAAATCACTTGATTACCCCCACATTCTTGGTTTATTTGTTGCTGCTTCTACAGGAGAAAATTCTCTTCCCACTTCCCTCTTTCCTTTCTTCTCTGTGAGATTAGGAGGAGAAAAAATAAAGACCTAGAGTCTGTCTATAAGTAGTTTGACTATATCTATTACTTGCTTCTCCTGTCCAACACACACACACACACACACAGTGAGCCGCACACACTTGTGGTACATGCTGAGTGAATTAATCAAACATCGCTCCCTGCCCTCTAGGAAACAGATCTAAAACGAATACAAGTGACATTGAAAGCAATAGGAAGACACAAGGACAAATTGTCCAATTATTTTAGATGATAGCCTAAAACAAACAAATATTGATAACACATGCAAATACCAGGGAATACGGGAAGTAACCTGTTGATTTTTCAGTGAAGGGAAGAGGAAATGCATACTAGTTTTCATTAGGTAGGAAATATTTAAGAAACAGAATTTTGATACAAATTTTGATCGCATATATGGCACAGGGGTGACAAAACTATTTTTTTTCTTAAATTGTTGGGAGGAGTAGAAATGAGCACACCCTTTGTGAAAAGCGATTTTAACTTAAAATCACGATAACAGTGAGGTACTAAGGGTTTTCTAGGTGCTCAACTTCGTGCCCTGTGATTTTACATCCTGCTGAGGGGAAAGGAATGTTCAGGCCCCTCTTCACAATTTTTGCCTCTTTGTGTCCCTGTGTTAAGAGTTGCTAATTTGATTAGTTATGGTCAAAGATGCTCAGTGGGTCACAGTTCACTGGACTGGGTGACTGAGTCTTGAAGCACGGTTCACAACCCACAGCCCTCTCTTAAGTTCTTGCCTCCATGTGGGAAAGCATACTCAGCTGGGCCCGTTGGCTGGCCTAGCTCAAAAAACCTCTGATATCTTCCCTGCTCATGGTTTTCCACCTTCTGCTGTAACTGGATGGGTGAGGTGAACTTTCTTACCCATGACGCTGGATAGATGAGTAACTTCAGGGTCTTCTGCAAACCTGAACTCTAAGCTAGGATGAGGGTGCAAGAAAAAAGAGGCCCCAAGTCATGTTCTCCAGTGTAGACCACCAGAGAAGCCCTGAAGCTGGGAGAGGGGAAAGGAGAAAATCATGTGCTCATCTGGTTATGAATTTAAAAAATGGAGTTCATTTCCCATTTGGTTATTGATTCTTGTACGTATAGCTTAGAGAGGAACAGAGGTGAGTGGCTCTAAAATCTGATTCTATCTCTTTAACATACATTACCTCATTTAAACTCTGTAAGGACCCTAGGAATTAGGGAAAATTCGTTTTCCTATTTTATAAACAGGGAAACAGCTGGAATCTGGGGTGGGGTGGGGGACTTGAACTCATGCCCTTCATGGCTACATTATTCTGAATCATCATAAGAGGAATCTTCATAAGAGGATGATTGTCTATGTAATAGCAAAATGTTTGGGGATGGAGTAACAGACACAGGAAGGGCGGGGACTTAGGGGCACACGGGACTAGTAGAACATGAGGAGAATCAGGTTTTGAAGCAGCCTAGTGAGGACTTGAACTGGTTAGACTTACCAGTCTCCTTTAGGCCAATTTTGATCTACCTCTGGCAATTTAACAGTATCTGAAGCATGCATTTTGAGGACTCACTTATCTTTCATTATATTTATCTATACTATTTCCCCTTGGTTTGATGTCCTCTTATGATCATTTATCCTATTACATTGCAGATTATTTCTGTAAGCACTGGGGTCTTTGAGGGAGGGATGGAGGAGAACAAATGGATGCAATGTGTTGCATATGAAGGTCTGGCCCATTCCTGCAGGGGAGCTCAGAATAAGAAGCTGCTCTTGGGGGCCATGTTGAGAGGTGATTTCATCGGTAGGAGAGTCAAGAATCAGAAGGGAGGCTGAGTCTGTAACCTGGGATATACAAATGAGGGAGAAGATGAGAGAGATGTTCAACTAGAAGAACCAGCAAGGCTGGGAAAAGGGATGGGCGCTTACAACCTGCATGTATACAATATTAAAGATGTCTCCACAGCCTTGTGCAATTCGGGAAGTGGGGGGAAAGGCATCATTATCAGCCACACACAATGGGGAAGCTGCACCAAGGAGGCTATTCTTAGGAAAAGATGAGTAAATTTTAGAATTTCAGAGCTAAAAGTGATCTTCCAATTCAAACGAGTCCAATTCCTACTCGGCTGTTGTTGTGTATAAGTTTCACACGCGTCAATAGGCCAAGATGGCGCTGTTTACACAATTCTTCTATTTTCTTTTTTGTTTACTTTACCTGTTGTAATAGAGTTGAAATCTCCAAAAGATTGTGGATCTATTTCTGCTTTTAGAGAATTTTTTTGTGTTTTTTTTTTTGTGTGTGTGTTGTATGTTCTGAAGTTATGTTGTTAGACATGGACACATTGAGGACTGTTACGTCTCCCTCTCATATTGACTTCTTTATCATGATGAAATGTCCCTTTTTATCTTTAATAAAGATAAAAGGAATAAATAAATAAATAAAAAACAATAAATAAAATAAAGATTATCTTTTCTTTTTTCTTCCTTTTTTTTTTTTTTTAAAAGATTATCTTTTCTGATATCTGTAAGCTGCTAGATAACTAACTTTTGGCTAAATACATCTATAAATGGAAACTCCTCCTGCTAGGAGCAGCCATTACCATGATTAGATAATAAGAAAGCTAAACTTTCACTGGAAAGATCATTCTTCTCCCAAGTCAAACTTTGCCTCTTGGCAGCTTCAACCCCTTGATAACTGTCTGGTTTACTAAGTCAATGTATGAGCTACATAGTAGTTAAGAACGTGGTTAGATTAGGCTTGAGCCAAGGGCTGGTTACGTGACCTTTAAAGCCCTCAAGTTTCTCCTTTATAACCAGGTATCATAATACCTATCCTTAACAGAGGTGTTAGGGTGATTGAATGAGCTAGGTGCCTAGAGCGTAGTAAAAATTCAATTAATATTAGCCATGATCATTAGCTGCTAAATATGATCCTTTGGGTATTTGAAGGTAAGTGGCAAGATTCCATATAGTCTTTCCCTTCTGGGTAAAACTTGCCTATTTTCTTCAACCATATCTCAAAGGACAATTTTTAGACCCAGTTCCACATACCAGTCTTTGGATTCACTTTGTTTGCCAATGTAACATGATCTATATTCCAGATTTTACCTAAGCAGTATGAAGTGCAGGATGACTAATTACTTCCATGTGTTGAGCACATTTTAGGCCCACATAGGGTTTTCATGCAGCCTAAAGTCATAAATGTTATTAAATGAATGATCCAGGTGCAGCTTTGTTGGCTGTAACAACTCTGTGGGCACCTGCAGACTGTCTCCTGGTTGACCCAAGAGCATCCATCACCCTTCGTCAGCCTTGAGTCAACACCTACCAGCTATTGAGTCTGTTACAGTTCTGGTCAACTACACCACCATTCATCTCACATTTTACCAGTTTACGCACAAGATGTGTGCTGTGTGGATCCTGGGCCTGTCTGCCCTCAGATCCATCCCGCAAGTGTTCTGCTCTGCTCTGCTCTGTGTGAAGGCCGACTCTGCAGGCCGTATCTCCCAGGCTCCTGACAGCCCACAGGAGGCACAGTGGGAAGTCTGGAGGGCAAACAGGAGGGAGAAGTTACGGTGTTTCCCCCCCAATGCCTTATGCTCCACGAGCCTCTCCAGCAGCCCCCACAGTTTCCTTCCTCCTGCTGCCGCTGGATGGGCCTGCTGTGGTTCTCGTATCTGCTCCGTGACTCAGGCCGCTGAGCTCCATTAGCCCTGCCCCCTTCCTCTCCCTCCAGTCCAGTGCAGGCAGCAGCTTCTCGTTATTGCTAATTGCTGATTCGCCTCCCTGTTCCCCCTGATTAGTTACTCTGTCTGTTCTAGTAAAAGAATTTCTGTTTTCAAATTTAAATTTCTGCCGGTTTGAATGGTTTCTGTCTCCCTGGTCATCTCTGACTGAAGGATCCCTATGCGACTGGCCACTCTGGCATAAGCAGCCGGTGGTATTATCTGCTCTATCATTGTAAGGACGTAACGAAGGTGAAAAAATGTAGTTTCACACGCCTTGGTCTTACAGAATGTAGGCAGGTTTCTAGGAATCGCTGACGGAAATCTTTTAGGCTTGCTCCCAATTCCTCTGTCAGATGACCTCGGAAGGAACCTCGGGTTACACAGCTTGTACTCCCCAGGAGCTTTTGCCCACTGCGGAATTCAGAACGTAATTGTCAAACTCCAGCTTTCCTTATTGCCCTTCTGTTTCCCCAAAGGAGGAAAGGGAGAGACTTAGCCCCATCACTAAGTGCTTTAAGCCAATGCTTTCTCTAGGTCCAGAGGCCAACTGTCCCTTATCCTTTCAAGGCTGCCCTGCTTCCCTTGGGCTGTTCCCTCTCCAGGTCCTTTGTCATCCCCTCCTCCGGGTAGAGGCCATGGTGAGAGAAAATGGAAGCCTTGTTGCCTCCTTCCTCTGCTCACTCAAGTCGAACTCCCATCTAGCCTGGGCCTTTTTGTGGGTTTGAAAGACTTCTGTGAGCCTCAGTCCACTCTGGGGGTTGGCGCTCTCCCATCCCCCTCCTCATTTCCTACTAGGGTTTTGGGGGCGGGTTTGGCCCTTCTGTTCCCAGGACTTCTGTGTCTGTCTGGGATCCTTGGCTCAGGCCAGTTCTCAGCCTGCGGGCTCAGTCCCTGGGCTCTCTGGCCTCTTCTCTTCAGCCACACTCCCTACCCTCTCTCAGACAGGTTCCTCGTTACAGCTGCCTGTCAGAACCCTGTGATCCTGTGTCTTTTAGACTCTCTAGCCCTTCTACCTAGTACTGTTTTTCCTGTGCTTTTAAAAAAGTAGTTTTCTTTTCACTATATTTAATATCAACTACTGCCCAGATATCAAAGTAGGTGCTATAAACCTGTTTTCAAGTTTATGCCATAGATCAGGCATTTTAAGGAAGAAGCACATACTTCTTCCTGTCCTGTTTTATTGAAGCAGATCCTAACTGAGGCACCGGGTCTCCCCTGATCAGGATAGGATACTCTCAGGTGATGGTCTTCAACTTTTCCTGTTTTTGCTTGCATTCCTCTTAAAGGCTGTGACACAGTATGCACCATCTCACACATTTATTAGGTAGGTTCTTAAAATTTTTTCTAAGTGTGTGTATTGGAAAAATATATAAGGTTTATCATTTTATAAACATTATATATTTTAAGTAAAACAACGATTTCCCTCTTACATATGTACCTAATGCTGTCTAGATATCAAAGGAGGTATCTTTTATACACCCCCCCGTCCTTGGAAAAATACATATACAAATTCTCCTGTAGGCGCCTGGGTGGCTCAGTGAGCTGGGGCCTCTGCCTTCGGCTCGGGTCGCGATCCCAGCGTCCTGGAATCGAGCCCCACATCAGGCTCTCTGCTCGGCGGGGAGCCTGCTTCCTCCTCTCTCTCTGCCTGCCTCTCTGCCTACTTGTGATCTCTGTCAAATAAATTAAAAAAAAAAAAGAAAAGAAAAAAAATTCTCCTGTAGGGGCACCTGGGAGGCTCAGTCGGTTAAGCATCTGCTTCAGCTCAGGTCATGATCTCAGGGTCCTGGGATTGAGTCCCACATTAGGGTCCCTCCTCAGCAGGGAGTCTGCTTCTCCCTCTCTCTCTCCCTGCGTGTTTTCTCCCTCTCTCAAATCAAAAAATAAAATCTTTTTAAAAATTCTCCTGTAATGGTCAGAGCTTTAAACTCTCTCTTTTTCACACTGTTTCAGTCCATGACCTTCAGCTCCCATTCCACTTTTCTATAGGATTCTATCCAATCTCAACATGTTGTATTGGGGATCCTTATATTTCTGTGCAACAACGAAACACGTATAGCTATTGAGATTAATTTTTTGCTTGTGATCACAAGGCTTCAAGTGTTCAGTTTCCTTCTGGACTGAAATCTAATTTCTATTATCAGAACACCTAAAATCAAAATGTAAAATATTATGAATATTGATAATGATTAAAAGATAAGAGTTTTCCTTCTCCTAATGTCCTCCATGGGTGTGGTGCATAAACAATGAATCTTGGAACACTGAAAAAAAAAGATAAAGGTTTTCTGGAAATATATCCCTTAAGGGGACGGGTGGGTCTCTCTTTTTCAATTTGTTCATGTATCCAAGGATGCATATGGTTGTTGGAATGAGGCAAGACTAGCCTCAGCTCTATTTCAATTTTTCCATTTTTATGACAAGAAAGGCTAAGGAAACTTGCTCATACGAACAAGTAAGTGGTTGTGGGAGGAGTTTTGTTATAGAGATGTCATTTCATGCTCAAAAGCCTTATGATTTATATGGCAAAAAAAAACAAAACAAAAAAAAAAAAACAAAACAACAACCCCTACTTCATTTTTTAGCATCAGCCCTTAACTGTATTAGGGCCTCCTCCAGCTTTGCTGAAAACAGAATTTGGCATCACCTGTTCTGCAGAAGGATTTGTTAGTCATTAGTTTGATAAGGTATCAATATTTCCGATTAGTCTTTTGTTTAGCAAGGTAGAGTTTTTCTACACCCCGAGGCAACACACCACATTGGTGAGAGGTACACTTCTTATGAAATGGAAGAAGCCAATGATAAAAGAGGAAGTGTTTTAGGGGAACCCCAAGAGACTTGCCTGGAAGCCTAATTCTCAGGCACACTCAGTTTGGGGAAAGAATACGTAGGGAAGAGGAAGAATTAGAAACTCATTTCCTAAAATTGCCCGGGCCCCTGCAAACCCTCAGAAAATCTTGTGATCCCCATATACCATCATTTGAAGAGCAGCAAGGATTTAAAGAATAAATAATTAAGATTTAAGGAATACACTGGTCTGCAGCTGAGCCATCTCTGCTCTAGGTGATGAAGCTGGCAGCGTGGCATCCCAGGAAGGAGGGGCAGCCCTCAGCTGGAGAGGAGTGGAAGGACTGGCCCTAGGTTGCCCAGAGACCCTACAATGCATTATAGCATTCAAGCAGAGGTTAACAAACACGGAGGCAGTGCACTAGGGGTGCAGACACGGAATTCATTACGGGATCGTGAGAATGTAGAGACTGCTTTCCTCCCATTAATTGAAATCAGACGAACTTGAAAGTTCTGGAGTTCATCCCAGTTGTGGGTACGGGAAATGCAATTAAGAGAGAAGGCAGTTACATCCAGGCTAATGACTCTCCTCATGACTTACTGAGAGCTAAAGGGAGAGGAGGGCTTTGGACCAGCTCTCCAGACACTCAACACATGCCAAGAACCATGCTCACTTCTTTAGGTTCAGTATCTTTTAAAATTTGTACCATAATCCTCTGTGGGAGGTGCTACTATGGTATCCTTTTACAAATAAGAAAAATCTGTGATTGTAAAGGTGAAATAACCGGCCCAAGATCACAGGTGAAAGCATTCACCCTCATGTCTAATCCTCCCAGTTTATCCTTCCTTGTACCAGATCATGAAGTCACAATATTGCTACCAAGGTCCATGGTCTTTAGGGTCCAAAGTCTATGGACTTTCCAGATGACGGTACAGATCCTCTGAGGCTTACTGGGTGAGACTGGGAGGGGACAGAGAAAACCCAGATAAGTCAGTGTGGGCTGAAAGACACAAGCTAGCAACAGAACCAAGTCTGTTCTTTTGTATTTGTTAGAAGGCTTTCCCAAAATGGCCTTTTCCAAAGCAAACATGAACTTGAAGATTTCTTCAGACTTAGGTTCTTGGCTTGTGTTGTGGTGAGGAGAGCCCTCAGTCTAGAGGAACTGGGACGGCGTTGGACCGGACTGGGTTCCCCAAGCCCAGCACTCTTCGCTTCTTGGACTTTGGCCGCTTCATTTGCAATACGTGAAGCTTGGACTAGAGCAGTGTTCTCCAAACTTTTGGGACCGCGTCCCACAGTGAGAAAAAATATTTTACATCATAATCCAACACACATGCACACACCCCATCTCTGAAACAAGAGTTCCACAAAACGACGTTCAGCCCTATTATGTGATGCCTTCTGATCTATTCATTTTATTTGGAGAAAGACACCCACCTGGTTGCTACTCACTAAACCGATGCTTTATTCCACGAATGGCCAGCAAACCACGGTTTGAAAAACTCTGGACTAGAGGAGTAAGTTTCTCTTAAAGAGGAGCTTAATGATCAAGCCAGTGTTGTTCCTTGGGGGAACTGTGAGCAGGCAAAGCTTATCTTTGGCACCTTCCTGGCTTTCAGGGACCCCTTTCCTGCCTTCCCTCTAGACCCACATCATTCCTGCAGCTCCTACCCTGATGTACCCTCACCTCAGCTACCTTATATTCAGATGTTAAGAAAGTATTTCTGGGCAGGTGCTTCTGTTTTCTCTGATAGCCCCGTCTCTGTGCAACCATCCTCCTGGTTTTTACTTGGGCAGATGCCTCCACAGATTCCCGCGCTGGAAACGACTCACCTTTGACTTTCAGAGTCAGGTACTTGTAGTCCCAGGCGAGGCCGTAGATGATGAGGCAGCGGTACTGGCCCGCGTCCGTCAGCTGCACTCGAGGGATGTGGAATGAGGCCTTCCCCAGGGGCAGCTGCTCTTCCAGCAAGCTGGCTCTTTCACTCTGCAAGGATGTATAGTTTTCCATCTTCTGCAAACTGGCCTTTAAGTTCCTGAGTTCCACATGACCTCCAGTGTCAAAGTGACACTCCAGGGTCACACTGCTCCCATGGTCCACTGTGTACAGTTCCTGAGGGGCCGTCACTGTAAATAAAGCTGAACAAAAAACAAGGTGTTCTCCCATTGTTTGCCTTCGCATCTCAGTTCTGTGGAGAGTGGGAGTTGAGGAGGCCCATCCCACCCCCGTGGTCCGGGAGACACCTGTCACGAACTGGGCTGTCCTTCAGGCTCCTTTCTCTCCTGTGCCCTGTCCTGTCTGGGCAAGAGTGGAACTCTTGATCCACTGTTTTGAGCTACTTCGCTCCTCTCAACATGCCCCACCTGTGTGGCTGATTATTGTCTTCTCACCTCTCACCCAGGCTCATTTTCTCTGTATGGATCAGATTATATCAACCCTGCCAAAGACGACCTCCTCTCGTGACGGGGAGTAATAATAATTATCATCTGTTGAGTTCTTACTAGGGGTTAGTCCTCTGCCAACACACAATCTCATTGAGTTTTCCCAGAAAGCCAGCAAGGTAGAGCCATCCTCTTGTTAGAAAATGAAACTGAGGGGCACCTGGGTGGCTCAGTGGGTTAAAGCCTCTGCCTTCGGCCCAAATCATGATCTCAAGGTCCTGGGATCGAGCCCTGCATTGGGCTCTCTGCTCAGCAGGGAGCCTGCTTCCTCCTCTATCTCTCTGTCTCTCTCTGCCTGCCTCTCTGTCTACTTGTGATCTGTCTGTCAAATAAATAAATAAATAAAAAACTTAAAAAAAAGAAAATGAAACTGAGGCACAGGAAAGTAGCCTGGATCTAGACCCAGGTGTGCCCTTAACCACCGTGTCACTTCAGCCCACTGGACAAAGTTCTTCTTTTTTGTCAGTAAGGAGAAAGGAAGAATAGAACTAATATTTAGTGTATACCTACTATGCACCAGGCACCATGCTAGTCCTCTGTAACTACATCATTTAATCCCGAAAATACAACCATGAAATATGTATTATTATTACTGTTTTACAGTTGAGGAAACTGGCTCAAAGAGGTTCACGCCAGGACATACAGTTAGTGAAGTTAAAATTTGGAGCCAGTTAGATGTTTCGCTAAAATTCTATAGTTACTGCAACAGTATTTCCCTAAATATGAGGCAAATATGAAGCATGCAAAATAATTTTATTTAAGGTAGAATTAAGGGCTAAAGGGAACTGAATTATTCAGAGAGGAATTTATTTCCTCTTTAATCCTGTTTCAACCCTTCAAGTAACATATAATTTGCAGCTAGATTCTCACACCTCCAATAATGGCTATTTCTCCTTTTAATAAAAGAGAAAGCTCCCAGGCAGATGCTGTAGGTATCGGGGTAGAATTTAATAACACTGCTTTCATCACATTTATTTTTGCTTATATCCTCTGTTTACCAGTAACAGTGGTCCTTGTTCTCCATTGTTCTCAAAGAATAAAAGCTGAGTTGATTTTAAGGAATTCTATAAAAACAACGGCATGAAGAGTGGTAAAGCAAAGTAAAACTAATGAAGGTAGTGTATGCATGAAGACACTGTGGGAAACTGCCCAAGGTTATGTCACCTCCATCATTAGTGAATGGATATTCATTATACAGAGGTGTGGCAAGATCTTAAAGTAATTTCTGAACGATGACAAAAGACTAGATCAAATTATATTCAGGACAGCTTGCTTAATCCATTCATGTAATTAGTCAAGACTTCCATTCAACAAATACTTGTGGCTTCTAAGCATATGCTATTCAAGGAGATTTTACTATTACAAAAAGTGGTACAGTAAGAGCCTGGGGTCTAATGACAGAGCGACTGGGGTGAGATTATGAGCTCTTTGATCTTGAATATGTCATTTAGCTCTGTGAGTCTCTGCCTCTTTATCTATAAATGTGCGAGGTTAATATCTGCATCTAAGTACTGTGGTGAATGTTAGACAAAATGGCACGTATGCAGTGCCTTATTTTGGCAGGGGATAGGCAGTCAGCAAACACTGGTTCCTGTCTTTTGTACCCTGTTAAAATTCTTGGGAAAGTGGTAATCTGTATATGCAACACAGGGCTGTAAGGACCTATTTAGCCAGGGCGACTCCATCTTGGTTAAAAGCCATTTTGTTGTTCGTGCAGTAAAACTTAAACTGACCCTGACCCCTCTCCCGAGAGGAACTTACTTAGAAGCAAGTCTGGGAAACCAGTAAAATATGGTCAGCTAGTTCCTAATAACAGAGCCCAGAATACAAGGCCAGGTCGGCCAGTTCTTGATAACAGAGCCCAGAATACAAGGACGAGTCCGGCCAGGTGGAGACATTCAATCAGTAAGAAACACACATACTTTTCCCCTAACCACCAAAGAATGTAAACCCCACAGTTTGGGCGCCAACCTTGAGCACCAACTCTGACCAGAGAAATAGGTTGGGCCAAACAGCTACTATAGGGTAAACTGTAATTCAATTGGCCACCTGCGCGTGACCTAACATGACTACAATCTCATTGGCCACCTATGTGTGGCCAGACTTTTGCTCTCTAAAAGGTAGTCTGTAAGATGGGGAGGGGTCGCCCTCTTCGGGGTCAGTCAGTCAGTTCTTGAGCCTGTGAGCTGGGGGTGGGCGCTCTCTTCGGAGCGGCCCTGGCCGGTCAGTCTGACTTCTAATGCTTGACATAAAATAGAGCTTTGCATAACTTTCACCTTGTCTCAGTCTCGTTCCTCTGACCAACCAGCCTGACTTCTAATACTTATCATAAAATAAAGCTTTAAATAACATTTCACTTTGTCTCAGTCTCGTTTTGTTTAATAACGGACCTAACGAGGGCCATTCTTTTTTTTTTTTTTAAGGATTTTATTTATTTATTTGACAGAGACAGATCACAAGTAGGCAGAGAGGCAGGCAGAGAGAGGGGGAAGCAGGCTCCCTGCTGAGCAGAGAGTCTGATGTGGGCCTCGATCCCAAGACCCTGAGATCATGATTTGAGCTGAAGGCAGAGGTTTAACCCCCTGAGTTACCCAGGCGCCCCAGGGCCATTCTTTATTAACTGTGATATTTTATTAACCAGGACAGCCCATTCCCTGACCATCCTGGGCAATTGATTTTTTCTTGAAAGATTTTATTTATTTATTTGAGAGAGCACCGTTTGAGGGGGAGGGGCAGAAGGAGAGGGAGACGTCACACTGCAGGGCTCCATCCCAGGACCCTGGGATCACGACCTGAGCCTAAGGCAGACGCTTAACTGACTAAGCCACCCAGGAACCTCCTGGGCAATAGATTTTCAAGTACTAGTAAATTCTGGGTTTCCTGTTGCTTAAATGGTTCACATTGCAATTCTCTTCTGACATGAGTCTCTCCTCCTACAATCCTGCAAGACTTTGAAGGTAGTGACCAGGCTGAGTTTGTTGTGGTATCTTCAGCGCCTAGCACACAGTACCTTCCACTTAAGGGTTTGGCAAAGGGCAGCAAGAGGGAGAAGTAAGAGAGGATGAGCCTGACCATACTCACTTCTGTCTTCCTCTCATCAAACTGCAACTTGCCCATGTGGCACAAGCGGGCTGGCATTCTTAGTCATCACACAGCACACTTGGTAGTTACGCCCAAACTTGAGCTTTCTCAAGAACAAGTGGGTGAGTTTACATTTTGCCTGCAAGTCCTGTTTTCACCACGACTAGAACATTAACATGCCTTTCTGACAGATTTGCAGTACAGGAAAGAATTCACATCTGCCAGCAGGCTGGGGCTGGGGCAGGTCTAGAACATGAGTGCTTCTCGGTCAAACACTGGGGATCACGCCCGCATTTGCCTGGACAGGTTGAGAAGACTGTGAAATGACACATGTGAATCGAGAGTCGTGCTTCCGAATTTCCTGCATGCTTCCATTTCATGAAATCCACTCGTAATAACTCTCACTCTGGGTCTCTCTAAAAGGACCTCTTAAGGGTAGATCCCTTTCTGATGGGGGTCACCTCCAAACGTTGAGTTATTAAGTCCTCTTCTAACCAAGACAGAGCTACCTGCTACCAAATCCACTCTGGCCCGAAGAGGAATAATTTACTTACTCATTCATCTAATACGTAAGCAACCATCTTCTGTGTGCCAGGTTCAGGAATTCACTTTTTTTTTTTTTTTTTTTAACACATGATACAGCAGGAAGCAGGGAAGATAAATGGGATTTGCAAGTAAATTCAGTTGCTAAGTCTGATATATAAGTGTAAGAGGACCTTGGGTGTTGCCTCTATTGAATTTATTTAGCAAATTTATCTACCGCACTTAGGCTTTCTTCTCATGAGAGAGAGAAAATGTAACTTCCTCTGGAACTCCCCATAGCAGACAGCAGAACTCCCCTCTATACACTCTGGGCCTTTGACAAAAGTCCATTTTCTGCTTGCTCCTTTTCTCCTCTGCTTTGTGCAGAGTGTGTGTAGGGGTTGTGGGTATAAAGCATGTTACCACTTAGGCAGGTGATATTTTTCAGCTAATGTTCATAAGAGGAAAGAGTAATTAGCAAACCTGAATCAAATATCTGAGTAGCTCAGAAAACTAGAGGACTAATTGTTATTTGGTGTAATTTTTCTCAATTAAATCTTCTAAGATGTGCAAAGCTGAGAGCTTGATTACCGCATAAAAATGAGGAGTTCAGGAAATGCAATATGCTTTTAAGATCTTAAATTATTCTTACTTGATGTAAATTACAGAGGCAATAAAATTACAGTTGCAAACAACTGCATGAAGACATGTTTCTCAAGCCTGGATGCACATCACAGTCACTAAGCAGGGTGCCTCAACTGTGGCCGTTATTGGAATCACTCGGGAGGCTTTTTAAAAAAATACCAGGCCCCACCTTGGATTCTTTAAATATAAATTTTAATCCTTTTGTGAGGCCAGCATCCATTTTTTTTAAATATTTTATTTATTCATTTGACAGACAGAGATCACAAGTAGGCAGAGAAGCTGGCAGAGAGAGGAGGAAGCAGGCTCCCTGCTGAGCAAAGAGCCCAATGCGGGGCTCGATCCCAGGACCCTGGGATCATGACCTGAGCCGAAGGCAGAGGCTTTAACCCACTGAGCCACCCAGGTGCCCCAGCATCCATTTTTTTTTTTTTTTTTAAAGATTTCCTTGG